TTAAGACTTTCGAGGTCTTCACAAACATCTTGCATGCTTGATTGCTTAGCAACTGAAATGTCCTCGTCCTGCTTACATATTTGCTTGCATAATTCCTTCATAACATCGCCCGCTTTCTTGCCATCAAGATACAACAAGTTTTTATTCTTTTTCCATATTATTACTGAATCATCAAAGGTAAATAGCTTTTTGTCACCGCCAGGTTGAGACCATGTTCCATTGAGCTGCAGATCTTCGCTAACAAACCGCTTTAGGCATTCAAAATCGCCAGCCCATGCAAAGCATAACTTGTCTCTTAATTTTGTCGCCATAAGTAGGTCATTTGGTCATAAAACCAGTGCAAAGAATCCTCAAATATCACTTAATGTTATCACAAACAATTACTTATCACATTTTATAGTAATGCTTTTCATCAGTACAAATACACACAGTGATATTGGTAATTCCAATACACCCAGTGATAAACCCAAACAATTTCATAAACCCAAACAAGTTGAAAGATCAACTTGTTGTTGAAAGATCAACCTCCTTAATTCCTGTGGATCATTAGGGTCGAAGAACTACATGATATGAAATAAAAATACGTTTAATACTGCTGTATTACAACAATTTTAAGCGAAATATATCAATCACATCATAGATGACTGTATTTTATATAATTTATACAGTACGAGAGCATTTTTATATTTCTATTTTATATAAATCATCTTACCTTAAAAACACAACTAGAGTGAATTTGTACCAGTGCAGGATTACCGCAATCAGGGAACAATTTCATCAATTTTTATCCCGTTAACCACAGCTTGACAAAGGACTATTCTTCAAACTATCTGTATTCCGTAAAACTATATAAGCATGAACCTCACGACATTTCAAGTTCATCACACGGTAGTCCTTCCGGAATCAAGATTAATGGCTGTTTTGACACACAGTGAACAAACAGAAGCTCGTGTCCACCCAAAAACGAAGCTTTCTTTCCACGAATAGTGCAAAAATTCACCATTTTACAATTTTTTTCTATAAATCTTTCCGAATCGCTCGAATCCTCGAGGTGTAAACACAACGAGAGCCGACCGAACAATGACGGCGCTGAGCGAGAAATCGGTAATATGTAAAAAACCGCGCCCGACCGCGTTGCATGCCGGTATAGTCCTCACTCCTCCTCTGGCCACATACAGTCAACATTGTCTGTACTAGCCTGCTCACAGGCCGTTGTCAGGCAGAGGCGGGGAGGAACGGCCTGCGACCTTTATTAGTAAAAAGTCGATTTATGCGTACGCAGCGTACGCAAAATTCCCATTGGTCAGAAGTGCCCCATGAGTTAATATCGTGTAAATATTTAACTCGTACGTACGACATTTCGCCATGTAATTTTAGCTGGCATTCAATCAGTGGCGTTACAGTAAAACCATGACTTTGTTTATCTCTTCGAAGAAGTATTAACTGAATGTAATTGAGAAACCTTTCAATTTAAATTACCGTTGAAGGATGAGCAAAGGTTAGCAATAACTGTACTTCCAACAAGCTTTGATAAAAGTTTAATATACCAATACTTTGTCTTCGTCAGCTATAAACCTTTTTCAAATGAGTACAAAGGAAACGTCGACGTATGCCTTGCTTATCTTTGCAGAGAAAGTAAAATAAGTCTAGTTCAGGCTGACAATTTATCTAACCGCGTTTGTGTCACTTTCGGCAGAAAGCTTCGAGACTTTTGTGTGTTTTCAAAAGAATTATTACCAACGTTGAACAAGCGCAGCGAGACGTTCGTTGTCTCGTTGAGACACAGGCAGTGAATCAGCTAGTATAAAGCAGTTGATCGTCAAATGCCTCCGAACATTTCTCCCAAATACTTCCCTTTCAACCCAAGGCTTTCTGCCTCAACAATCTGGTCTTGAATAAGCCAAGACAATAGGCAAATTATTAAAACAGACGCCGTCGAGGAAAGTCGTTTTTAGAACACCTGGCCAATTTGAATTTACACCTGCAAATTCTGCAATAGTCGTTTGCGTGTTCTTTGAACGAAGTCCGCTCTCTCTTTGAGACTTTCTTTTTGGGAGTCTCAACTAGTGACATATATTATTACAACAAGAGCTTTTTACAAAAAAATGTAGTTATTAAACACGGCAGAATCGATGCCACGGCCACGGGTTTTCAAATTGTCTATTGAGTTAATTGTATTATTGAGCAATTGAAAGACTTCACGCAATAAATGTAAACATTAAAAACTATAAATTCTAGTTGTTATACTTCACCTGCTAGAACTGTTTGCTGTTGTTTTTAGCCTGCTATTGTTCGTAACTTTTAATAAATAGTGTTTGTTCAAAACCTAAATACGTTCCCTTAAATCTTACAGTTATATTTTGGATATAAATGTATAAAATTTTACGTGTCTGTAGTATAGTAGCATAATTTATAACGGCAATGTGCGAACAAGACAGCAATATACAAACGGGACTATGTTTTAAATATTAGAACATTTTTAAGGAAAAAACGACAATGCATTATTTTAGATTGAAGTTTAGACCTTGGAATCCTAGTGAAAGATACAGGTAAAATTGCGCGAGAAACTGTTTGTTGTTGTTAATAACCTCTGGTATTTTCATGGTATTTTCATGTTAATAACCTCTGGTATATTCAATTATCTCAAAGGGGGCGTATTGAAAAAATATCAATAAAAGTCGCAGGCTCTATATATATAGCGCCTGTGAGCAGGCTATGTCTGTACTTACTTTGGGCTTGCCATTATAGTCCAGACATGGCCGTTTGTGCTTCTAAAAATCTCGTGGATGAAAGTAGTGTCTGTGGGACGTCTTCGGAATATACCGAATTACATTGCATTTCATTAAAAGACTGCAAACAGAGACGTGAGAAGACATCTTGAGCTTCACAAAATTAGTAACGATGAAGGTGTAAACAACGAGATGAACTGATTATTGCTTGCACGAGCAGGTACGTTCGTGAATATTTTTTCAGTTCCAGTTTGCTCGTTTTTGGTTTAAACACTAATTAAACAAATACTTTTTGCCCATGCAAGGTGTCTTTAGTGTTGAAGATTCGCATGATTCTATAACAATATGCCCTCGCCATCGTGACCAGTTTGGTCTTCGTTGGAGATGCGGGAAAGTAAACTGTGCATTACCAAGAGAAGTAGCTTGGCACAAATCGAACAGAGCAAAGGGAGATCGATGTATCAACAGCAGTCAATCACAGTATCTGATAACCAGCACGCAACAATTAATTCCAGTTGGATCCCGTAGGTTCGCCCACATTCGAATGATTTGCTGTCAATTACTGAAACGTTTTGAACTACTCTAGCGGCAAAAATGATACCGGAAAAATTTTCGCGCAAATAATTACAGTATTGACGGATTTATTTTAAGAAAAAACTTGCATATAAATTTTTCCCGGGTGACATTGCTGTATTCTGTAAAGTTTCTGTCATCAAAGCAAATATTCGTTAATTACTGAAATACGCAACGTATGGCAGAGACGGTATAGTGGGAAAGCTTTTGTATTTTGATTGTAAAAAGCCGTTCACACAAAGAATGCCGGCATATTATACTGTAGTAGATGGGGAAACCCCCAAAAAACGGTACCAGTATCTTACACACGAGAGATTCTCCAGCAAAATGGAGGCGATGTCTGTTTTGAGGACCGTTCATTATTAATTAATACAGGAGGGGGGGGGGGGCTGGTAAGGATCTGGAAAAAGCAATAGTAAAATATGCATCCCCCTCTGCCAGACGAAGGAAAACATAAAGCCCCCTCGACTACGGTTTGAAATATTTACATTCCCCCTCTTTCTTTTCTTTACCACAAATTAATATTTTACGTTTTCCATATCAAAAGGCTGAAGAATATAAGATATGAATTGAATATTCTTTGGCATGTATTGGTCATACTGTATACTAAAAGAATAAGACTAAGAATAATTACGATCTCAACTCTTATGCCACTCATAGATTATGTCCAGTGGCGTAGCCAGCTTGACGATTCCGCTCAGTGATTCCGTCCCGCTCAACCTCGTACCCAGGCTCTTACCTTCGCTCGCCCTGGGCACGAGGTTGCAGTCCCTCTATGCAAATACTGCCATGTTTATAAACTATCAACAGTTTATAATCTATGAAACATGTTTACAAACTATTATGTTTATAAACTATGAAACAGTTGAGTTCTAAATAAAATTTGATATTTATTTGTAATTTAAAAAGTGGCCATTACTCTGATAGCACTATTTAACAAGCAGCAATGTGTCTTGGTGCACCCTACTTTGTTTATTTTACCGGCTCGGTCTATAATCAACTCCAGGTGATTTTCCTTGAGAGGGGGAAACCATTGCACCTCATGGGTAAATGAAAACTATTTTATTACAGCTGTTTTTCGTAAGTTACATGAGACCCCTCCATCCGATTAAAAAATTCTTACATCCCCCTAAAATATTTCCTTAGAAGTGTCTGACCCCCCCTCCCCACACATTTCATACTAGCCCCCCCCCCCCTGTATTAACAATGAACGGTCCCTTAGCTCTTTTTCAAGTCTCGTAGAATACAGTAAAACTGCAATATAGTCAAATTATGCGATTATTCATATATAAATTATATTTGAAACATCATTAAATGACGTCATATATGACGTCAAGGTTTACAAAAATGTGCAAATTTCATGATTTCACAGCTCTCTAAGCTTGAAACTTCTCATTGATATATAGAACAAACAAGTGCGCATAAATTTAAGCAATACATCAAAGGACCGCGTTGCTAGGAAAATTGAATCATTATAGCCCTGCATCACAAGAACTCTTAAGATTTGGTAAAATTTTCTAATATTTAATTTGACTGAAGAAAACCAAGAAACAATGAAACGAAACTTGTAATTGATGAAGGCAATGATGTTGGTTGTTTTTAAATATTATTTTGCTGTTTTAGCTATTTGTACGACATGCAAAAAGAATCTTGACGAAGAAATCAAGCAAAAAAAGTTATCTTTACCTGATCCTTTCGTAAAAGAAAAAAAAGTCGCCAAACAAGAATTAGCGTTAGATCCATTTGGCCCTGCTTTGCCTGAAACAACAGTTGAACGGGTACATATTATATGCATGAAGAGAATGTATATGGCTGGGGTGATTGAAAGCGTTCGACGACTATGAAGGTGTTCGCAATAAGAGGCTTTCGATAGTTTTGTTTATAATTATTTAATTTGTTTTCAGGTGGACGACAAGTCATCTCCTCCAGAAGAAGAAAGCTTCAGTTTCCTTGACGAAATAACAAAATCCCTGGGCCTTCTGGATGTGAATGACTCACTCTTTTCACCAGATGAAGGTATTGCAACATCCCTATCAACTCAAAGTGACGAGCCGACTCCATACTCAAACGCGAAACACGAGAAGCTTAATGAATTTCTTTTTTCTTGCGGAATTGAGCCATTAGAAAGACGGTGGTTGAAGTGGAACGAAACGAGCGACAGGACCAAACAGCGTTATATCAAGAAATCCTCAGACATTATATCGACCGTCCTACAGACTATATCCACTGATAACGCAGGCTTCATTTGGCAAGAATTAATATCTTCTCCTGCTATGAGCACGAAATTTGGAATCGACCTGTTGTCTCTTTTAGAAAAGAGTTACCTTGAAGCGCTCGCTGAATCATACTATAATGCCAAGAGCTGGGAGACTCGAAGACAAATATTGTCCATCATGTCTGGCGTAGCTAACTATAACCACATTGTTAAATTTATACCCGGTTTAACCAGGTACCGTTATTCGGTAGCTAACTTGCACCGCCTCCAGTTTGGTCGAGGAGCACCAGTAGAACACCAACCTTTGACTCGTATTAAAGTAGACATAAAGCAGCTTGATCACTTTCTTGGTTTCATCACCAGCCCACATTTAATCGAAGATCTTCCTTTTGGCAATAACAAGTTAAAGCTTTCGAATGGTCAGACAATAGCTATAGAGGTACCCAATGTCATCCGCACTTTCATTCCAGAAAGAATAGCTCGGCAATATACTCAGTATTGTAAAGACACTGGGTTTACTCCATTCAGTAAAAGCACAATGCTGAGAGTTTTATCTGAATGTAGTGCCACAGTAAGGAAGTCGCTACAAGGTCTAGACTACTACGCAGCGGAAGGAGCACAAACCTTTGACAACTTGATCCAGATTGTACATCAAATGGGTGAATTGATTTGTAATTCCACCTGGTAAAATACAATGGTTGAATCTTTAAAGACTTCAAAGCTCTATTTAAAAGGAGATTACAAGGTGGGTTTTGTAGGAGAGATGTTGGAACAACTTAGTCGATTGTGCTAATAATTATTTATACTTTTGAAATTTAGGTTCACATTAAAGAGTCATCCGATATAGCTGAGCACTGTATTGTTTATTCCATGAGTGATGGCAAAGATAAAGACTACAGGAAGAAGTGTGGCCATCTACATGGCATCGTTTGCGAGAATTGTCACGTATTAGCTAGTACTCTTACTGACATACAGACGAAGGCCACTACAGCCAATTTTGCTACCACTGATGATCGCGATGAAGTAGCGTATATGATCAACTTCTCCAAACTTGCGATTGAGTCTTGGCAATGTCATATTATAAGGTGTGTAAATCAAGATCAGGCGCGAATTGACGTCCTACAGCTTTTGGATAATGACACTATTCTGGTAATAAACGACTGGGCTATGAAAATCATACCACAGAAGTATCGCAAATCGCAGGCAGATTGGTATGGTAAACGTGGTATTTCGTGGCATATTTCAGTAGTTTATTACCGGATCAACAAGGCGACACACTGGCAAGCATTCATCCATATCATACAAAGCTGCAGCCAAGATAGCTATGTCGTTGTTGCAATCATGCAAGATGTACTAGCCACTTTGAAGAGTGAATGTCCGCAGATAAATAATGTCTACTTCCGTCAGGATAATGCAGGTTGCTACCACTCGGCACACACCATTCTTAGCTGTCCAGCAGATTAGCAGATAGATTAGCAGCCACCTGCAAGGGACACATTAGAGCCTACATAAATGAAGGTCACGATGTCGTGACGGCAGAAAACATGAAGGATGCCCTCCAGTCTGGTGGTGGAATACAAGGTGTTCGAGTGGTAGCAATGCAAACTATCTACAGTTCATCCAGCGACCAAAGAAAAATCCCTAACATCAACAAGTTAAACAACTTTCGATTTGATGGCGAAAGCATAACAGCATGGCGGTCATATGGTATTTATATTGGAAAGGGCAAAGCAGTAGAGCCGGTGAACCCTTTGGAAGGTTAGTTTTTTAATAAAACACGTTTATCTAGCAGATCAGTTCTGATATTGATCCGATATTTATTACAGATTCTAACTACAATTGGCTGGAGTCCACTTTTACTCCAGGAAGATTTAAACGAATTGAAAGAAAGAAACCTGGCGTTGCTGCAACAAACAAACCAGAAAACGCAGACGAAGAAGAACCATTAGTACAAGAACAAGAAGAGGATCAGATCAATACCAGTTCCGCTTCCGGGTTTTACTCCTGCCCACACGATGGTTGCGTACGGGTCTTTCAGAGGCTTTTTGCATTAGAGAAGCATCTTTCCTTGGAAAAGTGCGAACAGAAACTGGAAAGGTTATCGCTACTTGACCATGCAAAACTTGGTTATAAAGAATATTTGGAAGAGGGAGCTGGCGTCATACCCACTCTAAATCCAACAGTGACAGCTACATCTTCTGCTTCCCCTATTGTATCTGAAGGTTGGGCCCTGAAGGCAAACAAGAAGTCATACCGCTTCAATGAAAAACAGAAGCAGTATTTGCAAGCAAAATTTAACATCAGTCAAGAAACTGGCAGGAAAATGGATCCAAATGTTGTTTCATCACAAATGAGAAAAGCTCTTGATTCATACGGGAAACGCCTCTTCAATGTCAGTGAATTCTTGTCGCCACAACAAATCATAATGAAGTCGTATTTCTCACGTCATGCTGCAAAGGTCCGACAACAATGTGATGTTGTGTCTGAAGACATCGTTGCAGCTGACGAAGAGGCCAATTTCTGTTCATTACGAGAGGCTGCATGTTCTAACATCCAATTGCAGCATCCTATTGAGTTCAACCAGTACAATATTTGTATGATGTTTTCAGAGGATTCGCTACAACAGTTGAAGCTTGGATTGTTGCAAGAAATGTGCGAATGTCTACAGCTAGACGTACCAGAGAAACGAGTGCGACGAAAGGCACTATATATAACTTTACTAAACGAAGCTGTCAGCAATTGCTCGTGCCAGACCCATTCCACGTGATGCACATTGAAAAGGTAAATTTTCAAATGATAAACGAGCTTCACGCAGACTGCATAGCTATATCTGTTAATAATGTTAATTGTTGTCGTCCATAATTATTTGATCTTCCGATAGAAACCGAAATGAAATATGAGGTATTGCAAAAAGTCATTAGAATTTATTGCGCTACATAAACATGACCGCTTCACTTAACTAACTTATAGTGTTGCGTGACACTTGTAATCATACAATTTACAAAATAGATAGACTTGGTTCAGATTTTTGTACGGTTTATAACCGACATCTATTTTAATCGATATTCTTTTGTCATCCACAACATTTCAACTAATGAAAAACCCGATTTAGCATAATTAATCATGCATGCCGATAATGGCCACGCATGAGGTCAAAACTGAAAAAATCACTGTAACCACTATTCTTACAACCATATTGCTATTATAGAGGGTAAGGTATCCTTTAATAGTGTTACAAGGAGTTTGTTACCAAAATCATGGGAGGAATATAATATTTATTGGAGAAGCGATTATTGAATTCGTACCGGAAAGCGTAACAAATGGGTCATCTTGAAATTTTTATTCAGAGCGTTCTTTGAATTTCCCAAGCTGAAAACTTCTCACGTATATAAAACGATAACCAAACTTTAAAATAGTGCAAGCTTTGTGTCCGAAACACATATGCCAGAAGAAGTTTTGGCTTTCTGAATATTAGCATTGTTTACACGTGTTCATATGCTGTCAAAAGTCAATCGTAGAAAATGCCCCAAAACAAAGTAAACATACATCAAACAGAAATAACTATTAGTTAAAAGTCAGCTTTTTGAGTTGTTTATTAACTGAATTTAATATCAATGTTGTTCCTTTCTTACTACGGGTAAACGAGCGCGTTGAAGTTTGATATTAATAGACCTCCATTAATAGCTGAAAACACGCCCGTCAGACGGATTTTCGAAATTTTGTAAATCTAACAAAACAAAAAATTCTCCAGGACTTTTAAATATAATTTTCTGAAACAGTTCCCTAAAGAGAATGTTTTGGCGAAATAAACAGAATTTCGTTTTTTTTAACTGTCGCGAGAATCTCGATTCTTACAGACATCTGCTCTTAAAGTATTGGTAACCCCATGCAGTCTGTTGCTTTTATAAACAGTTACAGCTAGTAATAATACAACATTTTCAACACATTCTATGAAATTCAAAATGAAAACAAAAACGAAAATAAAATACTTTTCAAATCAAAATCAAAATCAAAATGAATTTAAATTTTATCGGCCTATAGCTCTATTAAATTTCACAATTTTAAAATACAATTCAAAATGTATTAAAACACTAGAGTGTTTTAAAATCTATTTTTCTCCCATTTTCGCCCAAAACGTTTTTGCCACTAGTAGTCTGGTTAAGTTTACCAGGACTTCTTCGTTAAATTGACCAGACAAAGCTGGATGGATCAATAAACAACCAGGGGCTCTGGTTGTGTAGCCACATAGTATATAGTCTGGTTATATTTTGGTTTTAATTTTAACCCAGGAAATTTAACCAGAGACATTAACTTAACACAAATAATGTTATTTATAGGCTGATGTTGAACAAAATGAAGTGACAACTCAACCGTATTCAGTAGAAAATAATGAACAATAGAAAATAACGTTCTTAGACGTCAATCTTGTGCAGTTTCAAGCTATTTAAAGTACTACCATGGATAATAAAATAAATGGATAGGACACTAGCTGACGTGACCTAATGTTTTCAATGCCAATGGGATAATGGTGTGGTTGGATGTTGAAACCTAGTTGCAAACCAAATTCTCAAAAACGGCATGTTTAGCAATAATACAGCTAAACATTTTAGTCAAAGAGCAAATAAATATATAGTAACTACACCATTCTACGATGAAATCTCTAAGTATTTCCAGTCAATTTTAGTAAATATTTCAAGCACTAAACAGTGAAAACTGCATCCCAAATTTCGTTAAAATTGGTGACGCCAATTACGTAGCTATATACAAATATTATACCTCAAATTCAAATTGTCCAATCAGGAAACTTAGTTTGTGCTACGTGAGCATGAAATTAATCGCGATATCACGCCTTACGTCATCAATTAGCGAGCCTGCGTTCCTTTTGACAATGTTCCACCCCATGTTCCCCGGGGAACATGGGGTGGAACATTATTCGCGTACACCACGCGGGACAACACGCATGACAACAAGATGGCCGACAAAACATAAATAGTATTAATGAGTGATGAATAATTCAATTTTAAACCTAAAACCTGGGGCTTTTTCAAACCTAAAACCCGGGGCTTTGTCATTAATATTCCAAACGATATGTGATTCGAAAGAAAAGCGACGACACTTGCGTTAATCCGAAAATAAAACATCGTATTCACGAAGGTCGGAAGGTATGTGTCAAGTTTTTAATTCTCAACTTGGAGGCTTTTAATTTTCGGTATAATATATCATTTATAGACCCTCCGCTCGGGGGATTCGGCGAAATATTACCCTCAGTGATGATATTTCCCTCGGGGCAAAGCCCCTCGGGAAATATAATCACTTCGGGTAATATTTTGCCGAATCCCCCTCGCTCCAGGTCTATAAATGATAAATGTAAAAAAATACAAAACAAAGACGAAAAACATTTACCTTGAATACTTTGTCGTGGCTTCGGCATGTTTTTAAAACAATTAGACTAGTTTATGCTTCAATATTACTCTTTTAAAGCGGAAATATAGCGAAACAACAAAAAAGCCGAGAACTTTGGCAATACGCGTGACGTCACAGATTGCAACAAGGTTTAGACTGTGACGTCGGCTAGAGTCCTATCCATTTATTTTATTATCCATGGACATGGTACTACTAATTTGTGCGTCATCCTAATATAGAAATAAATGATCTTCGTTGAGTTTTAAAAGCTACTTAAATTGTAATTTTTGTATTCTCATTTTTCTCAGTTTTACCGTCACCATTTACAAGTAAGGCTACTCCCTGTTCTTTTTCTGTCTTCATGTCATCCATTGTTTCCATGGTTGCTACACCCTTGGTTTCTGGTAAGAATAATCCAAGCACGGCGGCTTGAAGGGCGAATGCCCCCATTATACTGAACGGTAGCGCTGCATGGATACGAATCTGCAAAACAAAGTGTTACCATTTGATATATGTCTTAATTTATCCATTGCAAACTGATGCATTCGATCATAAGACGCCATTTAACATTTAACAATTGGTTGGCATGCAGAATTTCAATGCAGCTAAAATTATTTTAACAACTTTCTAAAACCAGCAACCCAGATAATCCACGAAATAAAGGAAAATTTTGCAAAATTAACCGAGCTGTTGTCCCTTCAACCTCGTATCCAGGGCCTGCCCGCCCGATTTTTTAATATGGCCGCCAAAGCGGACGAGGCCCTGGTAAACGCTGGTCACGGGTCAGGCAAATACTCCAAGATTCTTGGAGTATTAGCCTGCGAGCGGGCTTTATGGAAATAAAGACAGGGGGCGACGAAAAGTTCACGAATAGAATTTGAATTGCCGCGGATTATTTATATTCTTTTATTTTTTGTGTAATCTTTCTTTTTAATATATTACGTTTATATATACGTCGAATGTACATCAATCTTCTTTTATATCGCATCATATAAATCGCCGAGAAGGCGATGTTTCGAATTTCGAAGGAAAATATTGGAGCCAACCTCGTACATACTTTAAATTTGTGATGATTTCCATCAAATAAATTTGTGATGATTTCCACCATTTAGCCCTTTCCTGCATGAATTTTGGATTATTTAAGAAAAAAATGATTATGGATGTTTTAGAGGTGCATTTGCTGTCCAATCAAAAAAATATTTGTTTTCATGGTTTCGGCCTATTTTGGAATTGTTGCTCCTGAGCAACAACATGCAGTAAGGGTAACGTTAAATTTGTATGGCAAAATATAATGAAGTTATAAATCCATATATTTTTTAATAGAAAATTGGCATATAATAAAAGCTCAAATAACTAAGTATAAAGCAATGTTATATGTCCTATATTAAAAGTCGGAACCCGACATTATTGTCAAAATTTTCAACCTCATCTCCATCTTCGTCATATTCGACTTCTCTATTATTTCCATCTGGCAAAATTACCCTGGTCTGTCTGGTCTCTACATTGATTCCATTATTGCTAAATCTTATCCTCTGGGTAGAACTCCCATAAAATGAAGTTGTTGGTATACTATGAGCTATATTTCTGATATTTGCAATATAAAATTCCAATAAAATGAATAAATATATAGGGAAGAAATGAAAAATTCTCATAAAATGGCTTTGGCAAAAATTAAACATTCAAACAAACTCTCACAGGATAAAATATTGTGGTATTTTCATTTATCACATCGAATTTCGCACGTGGCCTAGTCACGACTTCCCACAACCCTTTGCTGCATAATGTTGCTTTGGAATAACAATCCAAAATCGAAATCTTATACACGGTAAAACATAATATTTTTACAAAAACATTGATCAATACTCCAAATGTTACCAAATTTATCAAACAATATTTTTATAATGAAAGAAAAATAACATACCGCAGTGTAAACAATCATTCAACTTCGAGCAATCATATAATCCGCCATTTTGTTTGTCAATGAATTTTTGAAGGGCTTAACTCGAAAAATACCTACCCCATATTTTCATACACGAAGTTGCATGCATAATTAATGTCTGTGACTGCCTGTTTGAAACCACAGGTAGCCCATTTAAAAATATAATTATCCACAGCTATTATTAACTAAAAAAAGATTCTTGCTGCAGAGCAGGAAAGGGTTAATGACCTGAAATTATTTAAATGAGCCATTACTGTAATAACAGAGTTGCCAGGTTGACAAAGCTAAAATCTGATCAACCTAACCTGCTAGGATATTTCAATAGTCAAACATCAGTTTCAGCATTTATTCAGCATTATTTAATATTAGTGAGTTAATGAGTATTTTTAATATCCATGATAACTCCAGCTGGTCAGGGATTTTTTAGGGAAAAGGTTCAGCAGCCCATTGTAAAACCTGCCCCAGAATCTCAAAATTTCATGATTTTGTTCCCTTGCCCCTACATTTATACCTTTTGTGCCCTTGAGATCTTTAAAAAAAATGCCTAACTCTGCAGTGTGACATGTAACCTTGTTGTCATAATTATTTTCTGAAGGCTTCAATGAATTTCTACTCTAACACCTGACAGAGATGGGCGCCATGCATATGTATGAACAAGAAGAAATGATTTCTTCATCTATTGACCCCTTTCACCAAATTTTAAAATTAAATTTACTGAATGATTTTGAAGTTTTCTAGATTATTGAAAAGAACTTTATGGGTACACGAAATGGGGCAAAAACAGTTGAATTAAGCAAGATGCAAGTAACAATGAACAAGACCGGGTCACTGGATGGTATTTCAGCACACTGGTGGACATGCAACCTAATACCTGCAACCTGTGTCACATTTGTATAGTTTTACACTGTACTGGAAAAATAATGTCAAGGAATTTGTAGAGATTCAGAATGAACACTCCATGGTTTATTCAATCACCAGCATGCATGAATCATTTTATGTTATGAATATTTTTTAAAAATTATTCTCACTTTATAGATAATTATATATCAATTTTCAATATCATAAATGAATATATAGTTACTGTAGCTTTTGATTATACAAGTTATAATAATATATCAATAATGACTGGTCTCTCTGAAATCCATATAGAAAGGTTCAAAATTGACTTTCACTACCACTACTTGATCTGGCAGTTGGATCCGATTGTTTGATTGGATAAATGAAACTTATCTGGTTAATAGTTAATGATAGCAATAGCAGTAGTGGAAGTCAAATCTGATCTCTATTATTTTTTGAAGATTTGCTCTAGTCACTTCAATTCAGGGTTGCCCATGCAACTTGGTTAGCACAGCTAGCTCTAACCTGAGTATCAGGCCCTTATGTTTTCATTCGCCAGGATTAATTGGCGGCGGCGAATGAAAGAGGGCCTGATACAATTCTTTACCGCGGCGCATGTAAAAAGCCAGATTCTGGCTTTTTCGTCTGATTGGCCGATTAAACAAACGATTTTTTAAATCTGTCATTTGATTGGCTGGTGCTAATTAGATTATACTATTGTTGTTGATATATTTATAACGATCACAACTACAATTATAGCCGGCCCACTAAACGGCTGAATTTAAATTAAAACTGCAGTAAAATTAGAAAATAATCGCAAATTAGCGAAATATATTGCAAATGTAGCTTATATTAAATCGCCATCAGATTGCACTATCGACTGACGTATAGTTATAAAGTATACTTAATATATATATATACTTTATAATTATATGTCACTGTTTGTTGATAAATACGGCAAGCGCCATGTAAAGCTCATTGTAGTCACTGAAACCTCTGCGGAGGAGAGAGCAATCAGGTGGCGATTTAATATAAGCTACATTTGCAATATATTTCGCTAATTTGTGATTATTTTTGTTAATTTTATAAGTTCATTGCAGTTTTAATTTAAATTCAGCCGTTTAGTGAGCGCCTATGCTATAATTAGATTGTTGTTGTCGTTGTGTGAAATTTAAATTTCTCCTGCGACATTTTGATTGGATACTAAATATAAACTTTGCTGTGGGCGGAAAGCGACCAGGTTAAGTTTTGTGTCAGGCTCTATTTGTAAAATAGAGCCTGATACTCAGGTTAAAACATTTATAAACTAGAAAATACATGCATGCAGAAACCCTCGCCTTACTGACAAAACATTATGTTTTCTGAATATTATGAAGAATTGAAAGTAGTTGTCATGGTAACACGATAATTTTAAGAATAGTTTTAAACCTGGTTTTAAAATTGAAAAATCCCCCCAAAATATCACTTTTAATAACAAAATTATCAATTTCCCAAACATATGTATGCCAGGTATGTTATTATACGTAATATAAGCATCAATTTAATGTAAAATTCAACCACAAACGCTTCGCAAAACGTTTTAAAATGTTCTCAAAACTAAACGGCCTTTTATCGAATTATCGGTAAACATTGTCATTGAGGTTGAAATAAGCTGATTTCAAATTCTCGCATGAAAATAACTTTGCTTTCCTCTTTATTTAAATACTTTAATATACAAAAGAAAAAGTAGTTAATAAAACTACACTGAAATTATATGCTGTCTTTTTTCACTTATATACGCAATGATAGGTTTAGTTCGATATTCGCCGTATCGCCCACCACTATCAGTTATAAATATATCAATTATAAGACAAAAAATACATCAATATTTAAAACGACTATATCTTTCGCTAACGTCGGCGACTTTGCTATATTCTTTTAGACGTTTTTAGACGTTTTTGGCTCTCAGAAAGGTTTTGAAATTTACAAAATCTTGCTAAAATACAACTTGCAAGAAATGAACTTTATCATATACTCAAAGGCCGTCGGGTTTTAAAACAATTATAAAATAAATATTTAAAACAAAACTTACCTTTGTTAACGTCGGCTCCCTTCTTTTAGCCCATTCTTTAGTCTTTTCTTTCTTGAAATTTACAAAATCTTGCAAAAATGCGAGCAAAAATAAGATATATTTGCAAGAAATTTATCAATCATCAAATCAAGAAATGTTTGCTGTTTCGCTGTCGTCATGCAGTCGTTACAATGCAAACTGTAAATTGGACCAATCAGTGTCCGCTATTCATGACAGTCCGCCATATTTTTGAGATCAGTGAGGATGACCACCCACCGAAACTTCGTTGGTGAGCCACGCCCGCGATATTTGATGAACTTTAGGCTTGGCTAATGCTTTCGTTTCCCCGGGTGTAAATAGCCGGGGGGAATTAGTACCCTCGCACGGCGCTTCGCGCCGTCGGCTCGGGGATAAATATACATCTATGGTTATGTCTTCTAGTTTTAAGTGTTGTCCATTTTAGTCGTCGTAGTGCTTCCGTTGCAGAATAGCGTGGATGTTCATCTAAGATCAGCTTTGCAGCTTTGTTCTCTAAAGTTTGAAGGGAATCCATC